CCTAAAAATTCACAAAAAAAAAACTTACACAACAGTTTCCTTGTAACACATAAAAACACATGACGCGTGCCTTGAACACAATTCCATGGAAATGTATATTCTTGCTTTCATGGTCAGTGAAAATATACTCAAACATTTTCGAAAAAAAGAAATAATGAGGGAAAAAACATGTATTCTAAATGCAAATTGTCTAATGAAACAGGAAGAGAGAAGAAAAAGAAAGAATAGAAAGCCTTAAGGAAATTTGTCGGTTCGATATTTAAACAAAGAAAATTAGTAACCTTTTAAAATTTAACTCTCTTTCATCTCTCTCTCCCCGCCACTACCTAGTGTGTCAACGAAGTGTGATTCTTATCTATGTGTAGGAAAAAAAATGAAAGGACTTTTATCAAAGAAATTTTTGCCGCATTTAACCACACAGAGATATTAACCTGAGATAACCTCACACTAACTAGTCTTTAGAAATGACCAATTATAAGATCAAACAACAAATAAGAAACTGTGTGATATTTTCTTCAAAGATTTAATCAAAGCCACTAAGGATAAACTAAACAGTGTTATCAACTGGGAAAATAAAGCAAATATTTTCGAAAAAAATTTATGAAAAAAAAAAACGTTAAAATGTAACAGTGTTTTCACTACTTTAACAAGGTGCAATAGTGCTTGAATAGAAACTTTGTTTAAGTAGGATAATGTTTACTCCTGGGCATTTTGGGTTAGGAAATTGTAAATTTGACAACTCCTAACAAGATGTACTGATACCAAACTAAATCATGCAGATTAATTGATTGTTGGCGAGATGTCAAAATATAATTTTTAAAAACTATATTATAATTATGTTGAATCTTTTCGACAGTTATGAATGTCAATTTCCGGAAAGGTCCTTATATAGCGTTTCCAACTTCGACTTACTTTACAGTACTCTGGAAATTATTTATGATTGTTTGAACTTAATTCTAGAGGGACAGTTGTATGAGGACTTGCTGAAGTCATAGACCGATATTGCCTAAGAGAATATAAAATATTTTGTGGAAAATTTCAGTTCTATAGCACCTTCCATTGGGCCTCTATCGGGTTGAGAAACAACAAATTTTTGTATAAAAATATTCCCTAAAAAACGGATTTTTGTACACAAATTCACATCAATTTGATATAAAACTCTTTTAAAATTTCCGTCGAAGGAAGAAAATTTTACCAAAATCTTTTCTGATGATTGCAAATGTTTGGTATTCAAAATAGGCCAAGTAGTACGAATCACAAAATCGTTAAAGTCTCATTATACTCGAATGTTTGTACACAAATCGAGAAACATTTTATATCAAACTTTCTTCAAGTTTCCGTCCATTTGACAGTCTGTTTAACATACGTTAGTGCACAGAATAAATGGTCTTATGGTGATCAAACTTTTTCAAAATATTCTCTGTTCTCAAAAATGTTTGGAATTTTAAATGGGCCAAATAATACCAGTTATAAGATGGTTATTGGTATTACAAACACGTACGTTTGCACAAAAAAGTATTTAAAATCAAATTCTTTTCAAATGTTCGCCCCACCTGCTAAAGACACTGTAGGAAACAGAAAAGAGTGGGTAAAAATGTTCCCAAAAAATTGTCTGATTATAGGAAATATGTATGTACACAGAAAAAAATGAAATTCAAAATCAAACAAAAAATTCATAAAGCCAAGTATTTTTTTAACTAAAATAGGACCTATCACGAAATTCGTAAAATCAAGTACTCAAATTCGTAAATTCTTTATTGAAAAAATTTCAGGATTTTTCTTATTAAAATAATATACTATTTACGAAAAACATTAATAAATAATCGCAACATTTCCAAACAATTATTTTACTGAAACAATAACACAAGTTATTAGTATTTGTACTGAAATTCAAGCAAATAGGTTATCTGAAACAGTTAAATTATTTATTGTATTTTGGCAATAATAATAAGCAAAATTTTTTATTGAATCTATAAAAATTTTGTTAAAAAATATATATTGAATTTTAACAAAAATTTTACTAATTCTATAAAATTAAAATTTGTAGAAAAAAAGTACTTATATACTTACAACAAATTTATTTCACATTCTAGAAACTATTATTTGTACTGTGAAAACTGAAACACTTATACATTAAATGTTATAAACCAAGTAAGAATTATATCAATTCATTTTAGTACATTCCAAAACTAGTTTTATTGTTGTATTCCATATGCTGACATATAAATAAAACTCAAACAAAAACATTTATTGAACCAGTAAAAATATTTACTGAAAATTAAATTTATTTCAATAAAGTGTTTGTTAGAAAATATTTTCCTTCTGCTTGAAAATCAAACAAATTCGTTATAAAACCAAAAAAAAATTTTTATAAAAATCGAAATTAAATTTAAGCAAACGATTGTTAAGAAAAAAATGTGCATATTTTTTTCTGTGTACTATATCAAATAGGCCAATTAGTTTTGGCACCAAAATTATTAAAGCATGCATTAGAAAGCATATGTCCATTCGTATGTCTGCCAAAAGTATTTGGTATTACAAATGGACCAATTATTAATATATTCTTCGGATTATTGTATATAAATTTGATATGAATTTGAATTCATTGAATTGACATTTGAATACTCTCCAAATTTCCGTTCGTCTGCTGAAGGCACGACAGGGCCCAGAAAATGAGACTTAATGAGATGAAGTTTTCTCAAACAATTGTGTTACAGATTAGTTAACTAGTTAGGTTAGTTAGTTAGTTAGTCAGTTAGTTAGTTAGTTAGTAGTTAGTTAGTTAATTAGTAGTTAGTAGTTAGTTAGTTAGTTAGTTAGTAGTTAGATAGTTAGTTAGTTAGGTTAGTTAGTTAGTTAGTTAGTTAGTTAGTTAGTTAGTTAGTTAGTAGTTAGTTAGTTAGTTAGTAGTTAGTTAGTTAGTTAGTTAGTTAGTTAGTTAGTTAGTTAGGTTAGTTAGTTAGTTAGTTAGTTAGTTAGTTAGTTAGTTAGTTAGTGAGTTAGTTAGTTAGTTAGTTAGTTAGTTAGTTAGTTAGTTAGTAGTTAATTAGTTAATTGGTTAGTTAGTAGTAGTTAGTTAGTTAGTTAGTTAGTTAGTTAGTTAGTAGTTAGTTAGTAGTTAGTTAGTTAGTTAGTTAGTTAGTTAGTTAGTTAGTAGTTAGTTAGTTAGTTAGTTAGTTAGTTAGTTAGGTTAGTTAGTTAATTAGTTAATTAGTTAATTAGTTAGTTAGTTAGTTAGTTAGTTCGTAGTTAGTTAGTTAGTTAGTTAGTTAGTTAGTTAGTTAGCTAGTTAGTAGTTAGTTAGTTAGTTAGTTAGTTCGTTAGTTAGTTAGTTAGTTAGTTAGTTTAGTTAGTTAGTTAGTTAGTTAGTTAGTTAGTTAGTTAGTTAGTAGTTAGTTAGTTAGTTTAGTTAGTTAGTTAGGTTAGTTAGTTAGTTAGTTAGTTAGTTAGTTAGTTAGTTAGTTAGTTAGTTTAGTTAGTTAGTTAGTTAGTAGTAGTAGTTAGTAGTTAGTAGTTAGTTAGTTAGTTAGTTAGTTAGTTAGTTAGTTAGTTAGTTAGTTAGTTAGTTAGTAGTTAGTAGTTAGTTAGTTAGTTAGTTAGTTAGTAGTTAGTTAGTAGTAGTTAGTTAGTTAGTGGTTTAGTTAGTTAGTTAGTTAGTTAGTTAGTTAGTTAGTTAGTTAGTTAGTTAGTTAGTTAGTTAGTTAGTTAGTTAGTTAGTTAGTTAGTAGTTAGTTAGTAGTTAGTTAGTAGTTAGTTAGTTAGTTAGTTAGTTAGTTAGTAGTTAGTTAGTAGTAGTTAGTTAGTTAGTTAGTTAGTTAGTTTTAGTTAGTTAGTTAGTTAATTAGTTAATTAGTTAGTTAGTGAGTTAGTAGTTAGTTAGTTAGTAGTTAGTGAGTTAGTGAGTAGTTAGTTAGTTAGTTAGTTAGTTAGTAGTTAGTTAGTTAGTAGTTAGTTAGTTAGTTAGTTAGTTAGTTAGTTAGTTAGTTAGTTAGTTAGTTAGTTAGTTAGTTAGTTAGTTAGTTAGTTAGTTAGTTAGTTAGTTAGTTAGTTAGTTAGTTAGTTAGTTAGTTAGTTAGTTAGTTAGTTAGTTAGTTAGTTAGTTAGTTAGTTAGTTAGTTAGTTAGTTAGTTAGTAGTTAGTTAGTTAGTTAGTTAGTTAGTTAGTTAGTTAGTTAGTTAGTTAGTTAGTTAGTTAGTTAGTTAGTTAGTTAGTTAGTTAGTTAGTTAGTTAGTTAGTTAGTTAGTTAGTTAGTTAGTTAGTTAGTTAGTTAGTTAGTAGTTAGTTAGTTAGTTAGTTAGTTAGTTAGTTAGTTAGTTAGTTAGTTAGTTAGTTAGTTAGTTAGTTAGTTAGTTAGTTAGTTAGTTAGTTAGTTAGTTAGTTAGTTAGTTAGTTAGTTAGTTAGTTAGTTAGTTAGTTAGTTAGTTAGTTAGTTATACATCAAATCCGGAGAAATATACATGGGCATATATGGGCCTGCTGTACGCTCCGTAAACAGTGCCTCAAATCGCAATCGAAGTCATCACCTCCGGTCTACCGGACTATAACACTAACCACTTTCCTAACGGAAGCCAGAAATGTTATACATTGAAAATTGGCCAAATAATAATTTTCCCAAAATATTCACTGATGTTCAGAAATGATTGATATTGAAAATGGATGAAATCGCTAAACAAATTAAAGACAACATGAATGTCCACATCTAAATTCGGTATGATTATTTTCGCGATATGTGGTACTAAATTAATGTTAACACCAAAATAAATAAAAGCAAAAAGTCGCCCAGCCTCGGTATAACTTGAACAGTTCAAGAACTAAATGTGGAACTAATACATTTTTGTAAATTACATCAAAAATAACTACAATATGTCATAGATAGTCTTACATACTTGGCTCCAAAAGAAAATCTAATTTCACGGACCAATATTTTGATTAATAGTTTTTATTATTATTAAAAAAATTCAATAGTATTTATTTAAAAAAATCTCATTTTCTCTTTACAGAAAAACGCCAAATTGTCACTGCTCAAAAAAAGAAAGGTAAGTGTTTTTTCCAGTTTCACTTTTATCCTATTGTTTTAAAAAATACAATCAAAAGATCACACAAACAAAATCCTATAATTGGCCCAGACTCGATAATTGTTACGTTTGATCTTTTTGCCGCCTAACAAAAAAAAAAAAAACACAAAACAATACAACAATGAAATGTCCACTATTGAATTAAACCGAACAATTCAAGTGTTTGATAAAGGCAGGTTCCCAGGCTTGTGTTCAACCAAAAAAATATGAAAATCCAACAATAGTGGGTTCATTTATTTGTTGTTTGAGTAACTAAATCAAAATATCATTTATTACTACCGATGATTAGTTTAAAGCAAACGTTGAACAAGCATTTCAAATCCATTAAAGGACCTGCTTTAATATTTTGTAAATTCTCAGGCTTACACAAAGAAAAATTTTAGCAAACTATTATTTTGTTGTTGTTATTTTAAAAAAAAGGACCTCCCAGCTTGATAAAAGGTTAGAAAAGAAATTGTGAAAATGTTACAAAAATAGTCATTTATTAAAACCATGAAAATTAATGACTTTCAAATGAAGTTCATTCTTTTTTTTTATATAAAGAAAAATAAATGAAATTTATTTAAAATTAAAAAAAAAACTAACTCAACACCTACTTTTGCATCATTATTTGTCGATATTTCAAAAATATCATTTATTATATTGATTTTTTTTTTTAACCAAACATTTGTTGTAGTTTTTTTCTATACAAAATCTTTTTTTTTAATATTTGAAAATGTCAGTTAGCCCACCAACCAGTAGAGAGTCAAGTTTGTCAGTCTATTGTATATAAATTTATCATGTTTTTTTAACTTAAGGTTTTTAATTGTTGTATCTTATATTTGATTTTGCTTTGTTGTAATAAAAGCCCTTTTGAATTTACAGTTTAATGTTTAAAATTAACGCTTGTCAAATTTATTACCTCGTGCTTTTTTTTTCTTCTTGTCTCGCTCTTTCTTTATTTAATGAACAACCATTGATAATTTATGTTTAATTCAATTTTAAATTAATTATCAACATCATCAGCGGCATCATGTGGCAATAAGAATTTTGCAATAAAACTTTATTTGGTTGGTAGATTGAGTTAATTTTTTAAATGTTGCCTTTACTGTTTCCTTAAGTTGTTTTAATTCAATTATTTTATCTCTTTACAAATTAATTACTGACAATATTTTTTGTTATTTTTTGTGAAGTTAAATACAACAGTTTGAAATTTATGTTTGTTCAATTTAAGAAATGTCAGACAAGTGGGACATTTGAGTTTTATAGAAATGAAATGTTTTAGAGAAAAACTTGCTCCAGTCTAGAGCAAAGCTTTAGAGAAAAGCTTGCTCCAGTTTAGAGCAAAGTTTTATTCAAAAATAATTTTCTCTTGTCTCGAGCAAAGTTTTATATAAACAAGTGCTCTAGTCTAGAACAAAGTTTTATACAGCGATGACCAAATCTTCATAGAAGAACTTTCTCTAGTCTTGATCAAAGATTCATAGAAAAAACTGCTCTAGTAGTGAGCAAAAATTTATAGAAAAACTTGCTCTAGTCTAGAGCAAACTTTTATAAAAAAACTGGCTCTAGTCTAGAGCAAAGTTTTATAGAAAAACTTGCTCCAGTATTGAGCAAAGTTTTATAGAAACACTTGCTCTAGTCTAGAGCAAAGTTTTATAGAAAAACTTGCTCTAGTCTAGAGCAAAGTTTTATAGAAAAACTTGCTCCAGTCTTGAGCGAAGTTTTATAGAAAAACTTGGTCTAGTATAGAGCAAAGTTTTATAGAAAAACTTGCTCTAGTCTAGAGCAAAGTTTTATAGAAAAACTTGGTCTAGTATAGAGCAAAGTTTTATGGAAAAACTTGCTCTAGTCTAGAGCAAAGTTTTATAGAAAAACTTGCTCTAATCTAGAGCAAAGTTTTATAGAAAAACTTGCTCTAGTCTAGAGCAAAGTTTTGTAGAAAAACTTGCTCTAGTCTAGAGCAAAGTTTTATAGAAAAACTTGCTCTAGTCTAGAGCAAAGTTTTATAGAAAAACTTGCTCTAGTCTAGAGCAAAGTTTTATAGAAAAACTTGCTCTAGTCTAGAGCAAAGTTTTATAGAAAAACTTGCTCTAATGTAGAGCAAAGTTTTACAGAAAAACTTGCTCTAATGTAGAGCAAAGTTTTATAGAAAAACTTGTTCTAGTCTTGAGCAAAGCTTCATAGAAAAAACTGCTTTACTCTTGAGCAAAGTTTTATACACAAACTTGCTCTAGTCGAGAGCAAAGCTTTACAGAAAAACATGCTCTAGGCTAGAGCAAAGTTTTATAGAAAAACTTGCTGTAGGCTAGAGCAAAGTTTTATAGTAAAACTTGCTCCAGTCTAGAGCAAAGTTTTATAGAAAAACTTACTGTAATATAGAGAAAAGTTTTATAGAAAAACTTGCTCTAATCTAGAGCAAAGATTTTTAGAAAAACTTGCTCTAATCTAGAGCAAAGTTTTATAGAAAAACTTGCTCTAGCCTAGATCAAAGTTTTATAGAAAAACTTGACCTGGTTTATGATCTAAATATGAGCAAAATTCTCTACAAAATGTTTCTTTAGAGTTATATTGATCTCTTTTAAATTATTGAAAATTCTATTTTTTTTTTCTATTATTTCCTCTACAAATCAATTTTGATACTCTCAGCTTTTGTATTACACTCCCAAAACCGAAGTCTCTTTTAATCTCAGGCGCATGGCGCTACATTGCTGTGACAGGTTGTAAGATTGTAATTTTTTGTATTAAAACTCTTTGTTGTTTTCTTTGTTCATCAAAAGAACATTTTCTTTTGTTGTTTAACACGAAAACCCTGGCAGATTACCGCGATAAGCAGTGACAGTTTAGGACATACAAAGTACAAGGGTTTACTTCGATGGCTGCTGGTTGGCTGGCAAAGAGGTCAAATACACAGCATGCTGAAAGATAAAAAGAAAGGATTATGAATAAAAACAAATGTTGAAAACAAAATATTTTAATACAAATAAAAATAAATGAATTTTGTTTAAAACAAAGGGTACAAAAAGAAGGCACGCGCGTTTTAAAAGAAAAGATACAAAGCGCACAATGGACCAACAAAGAAAAGATTATCTTAATATTGATGAAAATATTTGTAAAATTCTACATTGTCAAGAACAATGAGAAACAGAAAAGAAACAAAATAACATAAAAATTTACATTTAAATATTATCCTCCTGCAAGTGTGTGCTGGTGTGTGTGTGAGTGTATAAAAATCTAAATTTCTGAAGGTTAAAAGGAAAATAACAGATTATCCTTTAAAAATTTAACATTTTGTTTATGTTTGTAGTTGTTGCTCTTGTTGTCTTGTGAGTGTGCAAAATTTTTGTTTTTGAGTTATTAACTCATGAGCACCGTGTGAAGGCACTTGTTTCTATCTGTTTGGTTTTCTGTATTAAAATGCAAAATTATATTTGTATCCTGTACTGCTGCTTTTTTAGTTACTGGTATAAATTTTTGTTTTTCTTTTATTTTTTCGTGCATTATTATTTTTACAATTGTTGATCCTTTTTTTCTCTCTCGTTAGATATTAATGTTTGTGCCTTCTGTTGTTTGTGCTATTTGTTTGCTAAAAAGGATTATTTTAATATTTTTTTTGTTGTCTTCAATATTTGCTCTTTTTCACAGCATGTGTTCATTGTGCTGTCTTTTGTTTTCAAATCTCTTTAAATATTTGAATAAAAAATAGTAGTATTTTGTAATAAGTTTTAATAAATTTTAAATTTAATATATTCGCCAAGAAAAAAATACATGAGATTGCAAAATTTTCTTTATTTTACAAAATTTTTAAATGTATTTAAAGAACGATATTGCTATTGACTAAAGCAAAATTTGGTCTAGACTAGAGCAAGTTTTTCTATAAAACTTTTCTTCAGACTAGAGCAAGTTTTTCTATAAAACTTTTCTTTAGACTAGAGAAAGTTTTTCTAGAAAACTTTGCTCTAGACTAGAGCAAGTTTTACTATAAAACTTTGCTCTAGACTAGAGCAAGTTTTACTATAAAACTTTGCTCTAGACTAGAGCAAGGTTTTCTACAAAACTTTGCTTTATACTAGAACGAGGTTTTCTATAAAACTTTGTTCTAGATTAGAACAAGTTTTTCTATAAAACTTTGCTCTAGAATAGAGCAAGTTATTCTATAAAACTTTGCTCTGGAGTAGAGCAAGGTTTTCTACAAAACTTTGTTGTAGACTAGAGCAAGTTTTTTTTATAAATTTGCTCTAGATTAGAGCTACTAGAACGAGGTTTTCTATAAAACTTTGTTCTAAATTAGAGCAAGTTATTCTATAAAACTTTGCTCTAGACTAGAGCAAGTATTTCTATAAAACTTTGCTCTAGACTAAAGCAAGTTTTTCTATAAAACTTTGTTTTAGACTAGAGCAAGTTTTTCTATAAAACTTTGTTCTAGATTAGAGCTAGTTTTTCTGTAAAACTTTGCTCTAGAATAGAGCAAGTTATTCTATAAAACTTTGCTCTAGACTATAGCAAGTTTTTCTATAAAACTTTGCTCTAGAATAGAGCAAGTTATTCTATAAAACTTTGCTATAGAATAGAGCTAGAGAAAGTTTTTCTAGAAAACTTTGCTCTAGACTAGAGCAAGTTTTACTATAAAACTTTGCTCTAGACTAGAGCAAGTTTTACTATAAAACTTTGCTCTAGACTAGAGCAAGGTTTTCTACAAAACTTTGCTTTATACTAGAACGAGGTTTTCTATAAAACTTTGTTCTAGATTAGAACAAGTTTTTCTATAAAACTTTGCTCTAGAATAGAGCAAGTTATTCTATAAAACTTTGCTCTGGAGTAGAGCAAGGTTTTCTACAAAACTTTGTTGTAGACTAGAGCAAGTTTTTTTTTATAAATTTGCTCTAGATTAGAGCTACTAGAACGAGGTTTTCTATAAAACTTTGTTCTAAATTACAGCAAGTTATTCTATAAAACTTTGCTCTAGACTAGAGCAAGTATTT